GCTGGAAATTCGTTCACCTCGGCGGTGCTGGATGTTCTGTGGCTCCCCCTGGGACCTGCCCACCCACCTTCCAATCTCAGCACACTTGGCCTGGCCAAGTCCTCTCTCCCTCTGAGGGCTGGCTCTGCCCCTCCCAGCCGCCCTGCTCCTGCCTCCCTTCTCATTCTCCACGAAGCAGCCAGAGGTCTTTCACACCCTTGCTTACAGTTCTGCAGTTCCTGCCCAGTGCCCTCAGGATATGAAGTCCAACTCTCTAAGATGGCTTCAGAACTTTTCCTGCAGCGAGTCTTGTTTATCCCTCCCACGTGCCCTTCCCACCACAATGCTTTGCCTGTGGGCTCTGCCAAAGCTGGTTCCCGGCCTGGTCTTCCGTCCTGCTCCCTCTGACCCTTTAGCTCTCAGCTCGGATGTCACCCCTTCTGGAAGCCTTAACTGACCTCCCCACCCAAGCCTGGCCCTGGGGCCCGGCTAAATTTCCCATGGGCTCCCAGATTGCCCCCACTGGCTGAGCTGCCCACAGTAGTCCCCAGTTTGTCTGTCTCTCCTATCCTTCTGCCCACCTCCCCCTTCCCCAGAACAGTGAGAGGCCAGGTCTCTTGTTCCCAGCTATATTCCCCACAGCGAGAAGAAGACCTGACCCATAGCAGGTGCTCAGTATATGCTCAGTGACTAACTCAATGTCAGGCTGCCTTGAAGGTTTCCCTTTGCTACCATCCTGCCTAGTCTCATCTGATTCAACTTCAACTTCCTCCAGGTCCTGACCAGCCAGCCCCTCCATGTCTTATGTCCCTGACGTGATGTGCATGAGATGTTGGCAAATCCAGACTGTGCCCATATACACAAGAATATTTGTTTAGACATGAGTGCTCTCCGAGTGTTCTAATAACGTAGCATGTTTAAAAATAAACTCTATTATAAATTAATTACTTAGCCACCTCCCTATCTCGATCAAATGGAGCATGCCGTTAGCATAATACCTCCAACTCTGCAAAAGAGAGGCGGGCCAGGTGCAAGAGAAGTCCTGGAATTCCGCAGGACATTTTTGCTTTGTTTCCTGCCCAGGCGGCATCTCTAGGCTGGAATGTTTCCTGAGAAGAGGTCACCTGGCCAGAAACCAGCCACCCGCCCCTCCCAGGGAGGAATCATGGGTTGGCACTTCCCCGAGTCCTCCGGACCCAGGAGGCACAGCTCACTCCTGCCACCTGAGCGCCCAGTCTGAAGTGTTCCCAGACACTCTCCAGTACTTTGCCCTGCTTTATTTTCATCACGGTACTTTCTACCACCTCAGTGTCCTGTTAGATTGCACGCTCGTTGTCTGCATCTCTCCACTAGAACCTGAGACTCCTGAGGGCAGGGCATCTGTCTGTCTATTCTGGTCTCCTCCCACAGACCCCGCCCCCCCACACTATCTGGAATGTAAATGATAAATAAACAAATGACTTTTACATTTGTTGTGTTGACAAATCATGCCCTGTCCTAACTCAGGCCCATATCCCAGACCCAAGACTTGTATACCAGCCAGCCTGACACCCCCAAACACCTTGCAATCAGCAGCCATCTATCCATTCAACATACATGTATTGAACACTGACTGTATGCCAGGCCCTGAGCTAGGTGCTAGGGATTCTGTGGAGAGCAAACCGGACCCAGTGCCTGGGCTAGTGTGCAGTCCAGCAGGCCTATACAGTGAGTCCCAGGCATGCATGCATGCATTCATTCATTCATTCATTCAAGAAACGCTTATATTGCGTTTAATATGAGCCAAGCACTGTTCTAAGTACTTTAGAAGTCTAAGTCACTTAATCCTCATACCGATCTATGAGGTAGGTGCTTTTATCCCCATATTACAGTAGAGGAAACTGAGGCACAGAAAGGTGAGGTAGCCTACCCAAGCTCACGTAGCTAGTAAATGACTGCTGGAAACTGGACCCTCTCTCTGCCTTTGCCTCACCCCTGCTTTAATGCAGGCTCATCTTTTGACCCTACTGACATTGCATCTTAATCCTGGCCCCACACCACCCCTCTGGACGTAACAGAATTTGGCTTCCTCAGTCTGACCAGTGAGGACAGGGCTGGGGGTCGCTGCAGCTCTTTCTGCTCCTGTTCTATTGGCACCACAGGGCAGCTCTGAGCCCTGGCCAACATCCCCCACCCCTGATGCTCTCTTGGTCCCCCAGGGATGGGAGGAGCCGTGCCTGCTTCACCCCACAGGCTGGAAATTCCATGTACGGTGTCGTGGGTGGAGAGAAACCACACAACCACAAGAGATTTACAGCTGTGACTTTCCTGGTATGGGTCCCACCAGGAAAGCCTCATTGATTTAGTCACTGCTAATTTAGGAGGTGCAGTAACTTGTCAGAAAGTCACTTTTTAATTCAGTTGAGTTGGAAACAATTCCTTCTGCTGAGGATTCATATGACAGATGCTACCAGTCGGTGGACCTCCCTTTACAGAGCAAACATCCTTCCAGAAACACGGGCGAAGGTCAGATTTTTGAAGCAGAATCTTTAAAATGCAATCCAAGAATCTTTGAGCGAGTTGCAATTTTCATTTATTGAATTTTCTTAAAGTATGGCCTTTCAGATTTGGGAATAAATGAAATTCAATTGAGAAAATCAATGCTTTTAAACCAACAATTTGGAAAATTAATTATTCTGCCAACAGTTTTTGGGTCTAGCTTAGAGCGTTTGTATTAAAATACTGTTCTGTCCCCGCTGTCCTGATTGATATAAGAAGTGGTCATCCTCATGAATGTTTTCCTTCTTTAGCGGATGCTCATTGGAATTGCCCACGTCCACCACTATCCCCATTTTTAGATGAGAAAACCAAGGCACTGAGAGGTCATATAACTCAGAGAGCATCTGGACTGGCACAGTGAGGACGAAACTGAAGAAGCTGCAATAGTTGAAGTTTGGAGAGCGAGGTCCAGCCCTCAGGGAGGGACCGGTGGGGGCTGAGGAAGGCGTCGGAGTGCCGCCGAGGGGCAAGGCTCCTGCGTAGGGCAGCAATTCCAGCGGGGGGGGGTGAGCACTGGGCAGTGAGAAGGGCGACGTGTCCTTTCAGGCATCAAGCATCGGTGAGGATTTGCAAGAGACCTGTAGAAAGGTGTTCATTGCGGCATGCTTATAGAGCAAAAAACTGGAAGTAACTTCAATGCCATCAATTGATGGAATAAATAAAACATGGTACATCATTATCAAGGAATCCTATGCATCACTTCCAAAGAATAAGGTATATTTGTTATATACCTCTTGGAAAGTTCACCAAAAATTGGGTCAAGTAAATAAAAATAAGATATCCATGTGACTCGTCCCCTTGTCTCCTCCTTTCAACGGAGTCAAGGCAGAGGGGACCAGAGAGGCTCCTGGCACACTTGCTGGGCACGCCTAAAGATGGCGGTCTAGACTGTCCTCAGATCTGGCAGAGATATCCCGGGGAAGGCCAAGCCTTTAGGGAGCCCCTGAGGGGGACTCAGTATCTGTCGTGGTCACCATCTCCCTCGATTTCCTGACTCAAATGCCGCCGCCCCCCCGCCCCCCGCCCCAGCAGACCTGGAAAATAGCCCTCCTCTGAGGTCATAGAGCAGTGGGAAGTGTCCACGAAAGACTGGCCCCAGCCCACAGACACAGACAACCACTTCCGAGTCCTCTGTCTCCATCAGGCCTGGGGTTAAGTGACTGGAAGGAGACACAGGTGTGCTGGAGCCTCTGAAGTCAGTTCATTCATCAGGGCCATATACTGCAGAGGGTTGTTAAGAAGATTAAAAGAGAGAATAATGGAAGTGAAGGAGACTGACAGAGCGCTTGACACACAGTAGGTGCACAAGAATCATTGGTTTCCTTCCTTCCTCTTGTCATCTACCCCTCCCCTCCTCATAGAGACTATATCACTCCATCTTAAAGTTAGGTCCATGCCAGTTAGCCACACACTGTGGTACGCAGGAGAGCTCCAGATGCCACGGTACACACGGAGAAGTGTCCCCACGTTTATCATAACCCTGGTGGCTGTGACGATTGCATGTCTTGTAGGCACCAGACACTGAGGCTGCCTCGTTTCACCTTAGCTATCAAAATCCTTATGTTAGGGTTGAGAAAGTTGAGGCTGGAGGAGTGAAGGGCCTCGCAGGGCTACAGCAGTGAAGTATAGTGGCAAAGGATTCTCACTCAGATCCCTTGGAATCTAATTCTCTCAGCCAGCAGGCTCGAAGATTTTTTACCATGAGCCACAGGAAAACATTTCATATTACAACCACTACACACACGCGCGCGCGCACACACACACACACACACACTCACACACACTGATAATTACTCCTGCTACATTTGATGGTTGTAGATATTTCTATTCCATTCCATTTCTTTTCTCTCCCTCCTCCTCCTCCTCCTCCTTCTTCTTCTCCTCTTTTTTTTTTTTTTTTTTTTTGTTTTTTTTTTGTAGTGCTGGTTGCAATCCACAAAATTGATTTCCTCACCCACTTGTCTAGTGAGTTAAGACCTACAGTTTGAAAAACACTCTCTAGGCTGCTTCTCCTAAATGACTGTCTAACACAGGTATCAGCAAACTACAGCTCGCTGGCTAAGTCTGGTCCGAGCCTGCTTTTGTAGATAAAGTTTTATTGGAACACACCCATGTTCATCCATTTATGTGTGGTCCATGGCTCCTTTGCACTACAACAGTAGAGTTGAATAGTTGCAACAGGACCAAGTGGCCCACCGAGTTTAAAATATTTACCTATCTGGTTCTTAACAGAAAAAGTCTACCCATCCATACACAGATCTGTCTCCTTTGCTTAAATTTCTCCAGGGCTGCCCTTTCCCCTCTGACTCAAACTCAAGCTCCTTTGCCGGCTTAGGAAATGGCCACTCTCTAGGCTCCTGTGCTCTGGTCCTGCCAACCGTCCTCTCCAGGAGGGTCCATGTTCTCCCCTAGCACTAACAGGCCCGCGGGGGTGCACAAAGCCCCACCTTGCTTCCTGATGCCTTGCTCTGCTCCCCACACAGGCCTCCTGGGAATGGTAGCCCACATGATGTACACACAGGTGTTCCAGGTCACCGTGAGCCTCGGCCCTGAAGACTGGAGACCCCATTCCTGGGACTACGGGTGGTCCTTCTGGTAAGTGGTGTTTGACCTTCAGACACTAGAGCCCCGAGGCATGCTGGGGCTTCAGCAGCTCAGCCCAGTTGGGGGCAGAAGAAGGCAGGGGGAGCTCAGAGTTTAAAGGCTCTTTGAGACCCTAGAGCCAGGGTGGGCAAACTATGGTGAGTGGACCAAATCCCACCCACTGCCTGTTTTAATCAGCCATCAAGCTAAAGATGGTTTGTAGATTTTTAAATGCTTGAAAATAAATCAAAAAAGAGAATAATATTTTGTGAAATGTGAAAATTTAATGTCCACAAAGTTTTATTGGGACACAGCCACGCTCATCATTATTTACATACTGTCTACGTCTGCTTTCATGCAGACCTGAGCATTTGCAACAGAGGCCGAATGGCTCACAAAGCCTAAAATATTGACTACGCGACCCTTTACAGGGGAATTTGCCAAACCGTGTCTTAGAGGCTGCTGTGGAAGGTGGAGGTGGAAGCTGTCGAGACCTGAAGACAGGCGAGCCATGGAAGGTTCTGGGTGGTCTGGTGGGTTAGAAGGGGCCCTGCACACAGGGAACAGGGGTCAACACCTCAGAGCACGGTGTGCAAAAGAAAAGCAGAATCAGTCAAGGTTCTTTTGTTTGCTGGCGATAGAATCCCAAGCTTAAGCAAACAAATGTTTGTATTAGTTCACGTAACTGAAAAGTCCTGGTAGGTCAGCTAGAGGGGCGTGAGTCGTAACAGAGAAACTCACCCACCCAATCTAAGCGGTACAGAAACTCACTGGCTCCTGAAGATGCAAAGTGCATCTGTGGTATGGGCTTCAGGGTACGTTTGATCCAGAGTTGCTGACGTCACCAGGGCTGAGTTCTCTTCCTCCACGATCATCCGGGCGGGCTTCCCTCCTGGTGGTGAGAAAGAGCCTCCTGAGGCTGGTGCTTCTTCCTTCGCACAGGGGGAGAGATAGGGCTTCTCTTACCTCGATGTTGACTCAAATCCCAAGCATTCTTCTGATGAGCCCAACTTAGGTCATTTTCTCTCTCTTGAAAAGTCACCACAGCTAGGGGAATGTCATGAGCTCATTGGCTCAACTTGACCAGGCCCATCTCCGGAGCTAGGAAGGAGTCAAAAGCTCTCAAATCGTAAGTGGGTGGAATAAATGCTGGGTGAGCTACCAAAATATCTGCTTCAGGCTTAGCCGGATCCAGGTGATCAGGTGATTCATCAGGAACTCAGTCATTCTCTCCCGCTTTTCTGTCTCTGTTCCCTTTGTGTTGGCTTCATTCACAAGCATTTTTTCCCCAAGTGATAGCAAAAATGGTCACCATGCCCAGTTCTTGGCTTACATCTTACAAATATAGCGATACCAGCAGAGAGATGGGACTTCTTTCCAGTATTCCAGGCAAAACCCTGGTTATGACTTTCACCAGCTTAGCTTAAATCATGTGACCATCTCTCAACCAATGGTTTAGATCCTGAGGAAATTGGACTGCTCTAATTGGTCTGAGTCACGTGGTCCAGAGGGCGGAGGGCAGAGAGAGCAGGAGAGGAGGTCTCCCAGTGGAAGACTGGCGGTGAGGTGGGCTCTTATTGGGAGAAGGAATGTGTGCTGGAAAGACAATGACCGCGATTGCCCACTACACAGGGAACGCAGGTCTGGTTCTGCTAGCTGGGGACCGTTTTTCCACACAGTCTCTTAACGTACTGAGCACTTACCTAGGGCCAGACACTCTCCTGGGTGATGCGGACGGGGCGGTCGGGGGGGTGAGGGGAGGTTACAACAGTGGCTAGGACAGCAGCATTGTAACGTGATTGAGACACGTGAACTTGTGCCATGATGTCGGGGGAGGATCGTCACATACAGCTGTGGAGGCACAGAGAAGGGGTCACTGACACAGCTTCTGGCAGGGAGGGTCCTCAGGGAAGAATTTGGTCAGGAAAACTGGCAGAGGAGGAATAAGGTAATCTTCTGGGCGGGGGAACAGCAGGTGCAAAGACTTGGCGGCGAGAGAGCATCTTCGGGGAAAGGAGGCGAGGATGGGGCAGGGAGAGCTATGACTAAGAAAGACCCCACTCGCCGCATTTCTGCCCCTTCCCCCTTTCTGCGTGGCTCTGCCTGCTTAAAGGCATGCATCGTAAAGGGACTCTAGCCCATCAACCCTGTAACTGACTCCCAATGGTTCTTAAAATGTAGAACCATTGCTGGGAAACCAGTTAAGGCTCTGACTCCCTTTGCTCCATCCCTCCTTTCCTGCACCAGCAGTTCCTTCTTGAGATCTTGACCTTGGAAGGTAGTCACCCTGAGTTAGAGAAGGAGACAAAGGAAGGGAATGAGCCTTTTTAAGCGTTGACCATGTGTGCAATAACCTCTTCCATGTATTGAGCACTGGTGTGTCATGATCACAATGGTGTCATGAGGTGGGCACGTCGTGGAGGGTAAACCGAGGCACAGAGAATTTAAGTAACATGACTAAGGTAATCCAGCTTGTGAGTGGCAGAGCTGGGATTTGAACCCAGGAAGTCTGGCTCCAGAGACATGCTTTCAATCTCTTTGCTGCCTTTATGAGACAATGGGGTAATAGTAAGACAGTTTATGTGGGCTTAGCACACTCTTTGACACATGTAAGTGTTCAGTAAACACTAGCTCTCCTAATAATATTACCCTTATTGATATGAAATGTAACACAGATAATAACCTGTGTTGCATACGTGGAAACTGAAGCTCCGAAAGTTTAGGTCGCTTGCCCAGGATTCTGAACCCCCTTCTCCCACAGTCCTCTCTTTCCCGAAGCCCCTGGCTCTTCACCCTGGCACTCGGCACCTAGAACCGAGCCTGCTGGCGTCAGCCACGGGAACTTTTTTTCTGGCAGCTGAGTCTCCTGCCCTGCGCCTCCGCTCCCTCGGGCAGATCTCCCAAGGGGCAGTGAATTCCCATTTGACTTATTTAAGGCTGGGGCCCAATGTGCAGCCCCTATTAGGGCTGATCCATTTCTCCCTGTCACCGAGGCCCGCAAAAAGGATCAGTCCCATTTTTCATCCCTCTCATCTGGGGCCTTGCCAGGCTTGTGCAGTGTCATCTCCCTTGTTTAATATGTGTGAGGCCATTTGTCAAAATTCTGGCCCCAGAGCCCCAGGCGCTGGAGAGGAGACCAGCTCCAAGGCAAGACAGCGCCAGCCTCTGTCTCCCGGCCCAACAGGGCAGAACAGACTGCGGGGGCTCGCGAGGTGGGGGCACCAGCTTCCGGGAGGGACACCTGCTCAGGAAGGTGAAGGTTAGGGGTCTGACCTAACCCAGTGGGGTGGCCCCCACCCTGACGTGCACTGCTGGGCCACTATGTGTGTGTATGGGTGGGGAGGGGGCGCACGGGGGTTGAGGGCCGGCCTCTGTAGCAGATCCTGCCTCTGACCCTCGCCCGCTGTGGACCTTGGCCAAGTCCCTTGCTCTCTCTGTGCCTCAGTGTCCTCAGCTATAAAATGGGGATAGTCTGAGTTTCCACCACACAGAGCTCTCGTGAGCAGTGCTCCCATTTTCTGTTGCTGTATAACACATGACCCCAAAATTTAGTGGCATAAAATAAAAATTTATGTTTACCTCTTATGGTTCAGTGGATTGATGGCACTTAGCTGGGTGGTCCTAGCTTGGGGTCTTCCATGACCCCCCAGTTGGATGTCGGCTGGGGTCAGCCGGGGCACGGCTGGACTGGGTGTCCCAGATGGCTCCTCGCAGCGCTGGCAGCCCACGTGGTGGGCGCTGGGGGCTCACTGGGCTGTCAGCAGGAGCAGCTCCTCCAGCACCGTGGCTGGGTCTCTGTGGGGAGCAAGCGTTCCCAGAGATCCAGGCAGAAACCACAAGTTTATTCCATGAACTTGCCTCAGCAGTCACACAGCGTCACTTCTGATGCACTCTGTTGCTCAAGAGCAGGTGATGGGGCCAGATTCGAGGAGAAGGGGCTGCACGAAGCGTGAACCCCAGGAAGTGTGGCTCGTGGGGGCCGTCTTTGGGGACGAGCTGCCATGAGAACAGCATGAAATAATGTCTGTGAGCACTCAGCACAGAGAATATGCAAGCGGCCCGGGCTTCCCAAGGCTCAGCTTCCTCATTTCTAGAGTGGGGCTGTTGTAAGGACGATGTGGGACCAGGTTCTTAAAGTGCTTGTGCACAGTAAGTGCTCGGTAAGTGGCAGTGATTATAGATGGTGATAATGACATCGGGCCTTTGGTAATGCCACTCTTGCTCATTGAGAGGCACATGACCCAAATGTCCAAGAGGACGACATCCAGTGTGTACGCAAGCAGCCCCTTCCCTCTGTTCTCCCCAGTCTCCGCCCCCCATACCTGGACTTGTGGCTCATGTTTCTTTGCAGGACTTGAGTGCTTTGTTAGGATCCAGCCCTGGCTGCAGTCTCCCCTTACTCCTCGACCCCCTCCTTTGGCCCCACCTATGTTTTGGGACCCCATCCCCGCCCTGAGACCCGGGGCCCCAACCCTCCTGCCTGATCCTTTATTCAGCTCTCTGCCTAGCTCTCTCCAGGTCCACCTGTGACGATGCCAAGGCAAGCCCTCCGGGAGAAGTGAGGGCATAAGACTAAGGTTGGTGCCACCTACTTTGTGCCAGGCACGGTGTGGACACGTTATAAGCCCTGAGCTGTACTTTTCTGCCAATGACCCCCATGGAGGGGTTACCACACCCACTCGAGGGATGAGGACACAGCCTTAGAAAGGACAAAGGCCCTTTGAGCCCACAATGAGCCTCAGAGGCTGCAAATTGCAAGCAGCTCAGGGCTGAACCCTGCCTGGAGATGTTTTACTTGGCCTACCCTAGTGTTATTTAAAAGTTCATATTTGTTCCTAACATCTAAAAAGGTGAACATTTTACATAAAAATCCAGATCTCTGGCTTCTCCTGACCATTAGAAGGTATGTTCGTGCCTAAGTCTCATTGCTACCTGGTGACAGGCAGCCACAGCTGGGTAGTGGATGACCCCTTTAGATGGGGCATATGCTCTCTAGTTCGCCCCAGTCCCCA